GTCATGTGGAATATTATTTCATTGATATATTTCCCAATAGTGACATTTAGACCCATATAGAAGTCATTTCGAAAAACCGAATCGAATAACACTCAAATCCCAGTCAAACCTAATCAATTAAGTTTGTGGAAGAATTCTCATACTGCAATGACAGAGGAGAAATAATAATCTGGACACTGTAAGAAGAAAAAGAAGAAGAAGAAATAATAATAATATAATATGATACAACAACAGAAGCAACGGTTAGGTTTGTGTAATACTAATGTTGCGGGTTTTTTTTTCATTAAATCACAGAAATAGCAAAATAAAATATAATAAATATTATGTTCAGATTACTTTTCCGACTTTAATCTTTCATAAAATGAAACTCAATGTGAGATTAGGTATAGTACGGGGCGACTTGAAATTTAACAGTAATGGAACTGAAGATCAGCGTCGGCCATTTGTTAGACTAATGTAAGAAAATATATCCCATTTTATTATTTTTTTTTTGCTGTTTTAGTAATAATAATTGAAACAAACATTAACGTTTTAAACGACGCCACCTGCGATATTAAATTGGATATGGAAGAATGGCTACAAGTGTATAATTAAACTTTTTATACTATTTATAACAATTCCTAGAACTCCTTATGAGATGTATTAAGACAGCACCAACACCTTTACTGAGTTTGACTGAAAACAAAACAGCAAGGACTTGTTTTAAATAAAAAATTTCGCATAAATTGTTAAACACATAAAATTCAAACGACTTCCGGTTGTTTTATATTTATTTTAAAAGTTACCTATCACATTACATTGGGCGTGAGACATTACAAAGGTTTAATGTCCAAACAGGAACAGTAAAAGGGTGTAATATTTATTTTTATCTTTGCGCATAGCACGTGGCAACCCTTTCACACAATACATTCGGTTCTTTGCAAACAAAACAAATTAACACAATAAAACTATTGCTGTAATAATCAACAAATAATTGTCCATAGAACGAGGCAATTAAATATAAGAATACAAATATTCTAAAGTAAAACCCATAAAGCGCAGTAATTGGAAAATAAGAACAGCCATGGAAATATATTTATTTTATACAACAAAAATATATATTTTTAAGATATAATATTTTCATAGTAAATAGAAATAGAATATTTAAAATAAGAACCATAACTACTATCAAAATATATTCGCACGAAAATCAACACAGAAAACTGACATAATTATTGCAATTATTTAAAACATGTAAAAAAAAAAATCTAACATGTTGGATGTAGAACCCGTGGGTCTATCTAAACAATACCAACATATTATAAACACTTGTAACAAACACTACAGCAGTAACTATTATCTAAAATCAGCGCAAAGGAACATTCAATCGTAACGAATTACATTTATACATGACTTATTTCAAATAAACCATTAAACATCTCTCAAACAGATGTTCGACGGTTGAATAAGCAAACACAGAACTGTTTACAGACGATGGAAATCATTTGGATGTTTTTCTCACCTGAAGCCTACATAAGTTATGTAATGTCAAATATATGTGATTATAACGACTCGGGAAAGGACAAATAGTTCGAATGGTTAACGATTTAATTATTTTTTAATTTTACAAACAAATATTCGGTCGAGGAATCTTGAAAATTAGTAATCGATTACTCGATGTTAATTATATTGATTTTTAGTTAATCCAAACATAGTGGAAATGTTTTTTTAACGTTGAAAATACATTTAAAAAAATATACATATTGTCCATATTTTTTGTAATAAACTCATTTTAAATTAAAATTCTAATAATTATTATGAAAAAAAATCGTAGCCACTTTTTACACATCATTTAAAGAAAACATTAATAAAATATTATTTCAAAAAATTGTTCATTTTTAAATATTTTGTTTTTCAAATTATTCATAAAAAAATCCATCATGTTTTTAATATATATATAAGAAGAACAAACAAGTAATACAAATAAAAATTAAGATGATTTTTTATGTGTCATTCTAATGATAAAAGACATCTATTACTATTGTTTTAGATTCGTGTCAATGGAAATTTTTTATTTAAACTGCAAATAAAATCAAATAAGGTTTAATTTGTATTGTATTCTCTTGGCACTCAATCCTTTCCTTTCCATAAGACACCGTGAGTGGATGATTTCACAGCTATCTCAGGCAATAACGTTCGTTGAGTGTTTGGACTCCTTTGAAAACGATATCAGAGCAATTAATTATTTTGTTTTCATTATGTAAAAAAAAAAAAAAGATTTGTGTCGACTAAAGAATGTCGAATAAAAAATAATTATTAAATTAACGCCGTATTGTTAAAACTTAAAAAATAGGACAAGGAATTTGCAGAATTAAAAAAAGCTCTGTATAGAACCGATCAACCTGAAAAAATATCTTCAAGTTAAAACTAATAAAAAAAAAATTTAATTTGAATTTAAACGAATCTAAAATTATGTGTAATTGATTTTTTTAAATTTGTCTTCTTGAAAAACTGAAGTATTTTATGTTAGACTATACTTGCTTCGATTTTGGAAAATACTGAATTAATATACAATATAATATATTTTCGATTAACCGGTTACCCGTCAAAAATCGGATTTCTTAATTAAATTACTTTGCCGAGGTTGCATAATATGAATGTGTTTTGTTGCATAAGAAATAGTAAAACTAATCCTGAGCACTATAAATGCATTGCCTACTAATTTAGGCGTTTGGGTTAGATTAGATAAGAATCGAATCAGCTGTGTACACATGAAAACTCAGTCTATAACATTTTCTAAATAGTTGTTACCGAATACCTTTTATGTATCAATCGCCATTCTTATAATTTATAAGCTTGTCTTCTTTATGAATCACCATTCTTATCACACTCATATCTCTTATAAGCTTATCCTCTCTTATCACTGTAATGTCTTTTAACCGCCATCTCTGTGGGAATTAACACCTTATCATATGTTGATAACTGTTATCACTGTTTATAACAATAATTAGTTAATAGCACAGAATCAAAATATATTATATATTATTTTATACACATACACATATGAATCCCACAAAAATGGCCGACGTCGACTTCAGTTGTTATCATTAGTTAGCAATCTAGTTTTTTATATTATACAACTGTGGTACTAACATGTATGCTAGTAATATCGGTGATTATTGATAAGAAGAAAATAATGTCAAGACAGTTTTATTGGCTACGTTTTATAACTTCAGGAGCGTTCAGTAAGTTGTCAATTTTCTTTTTTCAATTGAAAAATAAACTTGGACATGGTCGTTTTTCGCCAAAACCGCACCTTTCCCTTTTGCGCCAGACCACATAATTTCTTAATACCTATCTATATGATTCGCTTGAACCCGCGATCTACTGATGTGACGTCTTATCATTAGGGATTTCTTCGACAATTTTTTTTCTTTGGCATAACAAGGAAAAGACTGGTCTGGCGCAAAAGGGTCTCGTCCGTTCAGCTGTGGTGTACTATCGATGAAATATGGGTAATGCAAAAAAACAAAAATCCAATTTCTACTAATTTATAAAACCGCAAATCATATTATAACATGCATGCAAATACAAAAGAGACACTGTCTATGAATAATAAAAAAAAACTATCCGTTGAAGTCAACATACGTTGTGTATATTCAATATTACATTATAATATTAACCACACGGACACGTGCTCGACGGCATATCATATTAATATCGAAATGGCTATAAAAAAAATTGGTTAAGAGCGAGAGTACGGTTTCTACGGTTAATTCGAAATCGATCGTCTGAAGGAGTTTTACATATTATTATAATTGTTTTCTTCTTTTTCTCGTTCGAATTTAATGATTTATTGTTTTCACTCGAAGGCGTCGACGAAGATAATATTATTATTGGCTTCTATGCGAAGCTGAGGAGGTGTTGTTTTTACTGATGATGTGTTTTTATTTATTTTCGTGCCTCGACCCATTAGATCTCCTAAACCGCTGAACCGATTTCTGCAGATCAGAAATCGTATTTGAAAGGTTAATTAATAGGCCCGAAATTTAAAAAAAACCCTTCACCTTCAAAATCGAGAAAACATCCAAAAAATGTCCATATTTTCCAGCCGATTTTTTAGGTGAAGTTTTAAGGTTTAACCTAACTTTAAGGCGTGGAAATTAGACCGAGGGTAAATCTAAAACGGCGCTATATAACGTATACAATTTTCTCAAGAATCAGTTGCCGTACTTTTTTTTTTTATTAAGGAAAAACTCCCACAAAAAAAGAGAAAAGTTACCCACTGACCTTAGTCAATTCTTAGGTTGCTATGTGCGAGTAAATCAACAGGTATTTGAAAATGTTTACAATACATTACTATAGACGGACGACCAACCCTAATCGTATCCACCAAATTGTTTTTTTATTAAGGTAAAACGAAAAAAAAAAAAACTAGAACAACTTTTTTAAATTTCACCTATTTATACATAATTACTTAATGTGTTTTTGGTCGATAAACATTTTTACCGTAACCGGTGTCGCGCAACTTAATTTTCTTTCAAATTACAAATTTTCAATTTTAATTTAAAAAACGCTATGGGCCTCTGGTGGTCACTGATCTATAAGAATCATTATGGCTCAAAGCGATTGAATCGTTTTAATATAAACGTTACGATGCGAATCTGTGGATAGCTAAGAATACAGCTGAGTTCAAACCGTGTAAGGTCTAAGTCAGCACGCCAAGAAAGCACCAAAGTGAGGCCCATTGTCCACGGATGCACGTCGAAAGTGACTTTTACACTTTCAGTTACAATGATTCCCATGGACCGGCGACCTCTCCCGGTCCCCACCGAGTGGCCCCCCGAGTCCGCCGTACCGGGATTTTTTTTTTTTACCTTATTCCAATCATCGTATTTGGTTTTTCGCATTTCCCTCGGTCCGTTCGCTCCGCCTGAGAGAAAGGTTTTTCCCCGGGACCACCGCACGCCGAGTAAAAGTGATTTAGTATCGCGCGATCGTTGCTGACATGCCGACCTAACATGCTACTGGTACTCGTGTTGTGCGCGCTATGTCCGGCCGCGTTGTCGACCAAAGCGGCCGCCGGGGACGACGCGGCCGTGGTGCACGCGGTGTCGCCGGCAACCCGCGGGGACGAGCACGAGCAGACGGCCCGGAACTACGTTTCCGCGCACGAGCTGCCCAAAGACGTGGCCACCAGGGTGAAGATCGTCGGCGACCTCGGCACCCCGCCGCCCGGCGTGCCCCTGGACTTTGTGCCCCAACAGTCGTACGTGCAGGTCCGCCGGTACGACGCGGTCAAGAGGCTACCGCAGGAAGCGGCGCTGGAGGAGGCGGCCACGGCCGAGGAGGTGGCCAACGCGCCCAGGCTCAGAGAAGTGGTCTCCCACAAGAAGACCCAAGAAGTATGATATAAACATAATATTTGTCTAGAAAAAACTCGAGCGACACTTGAAGAGTGAATTTGTCGAACGTTGCAAGTGCCAAATTATAAAAATTGAACTTTATAATTTGATTTGTATTTTATTCATTACCGGAAACAATTTAACATATTTGTGAGTTTTAAATATGATTGTTTTTTTTTTTTTTATAAATAACTATTCATTACTTGAAAAAAGTGGTTTCCGGTACTGAATATAATACAAATCAAATTATTAAGTTCAATTTTTATACTTTGGCACTTAGAACGTTTGACAAATTCACTCTTCACTTGTGCTTGTATGCGTTATAAAATAATTAAATATATTTTAATCAACCCTTACCCACACGTATACGCGAAATCGTCTGATATCCTAATGTCCACAAACGGTCCGAGGGCGGAGGCGGTTAGGCTAAATTTTTTTAGTCACCGGATAAATAGCTGTACCTCGTGCAAAGTTTTGCAAATTCTTATTAGTATAAATAACGTTATTCGACTAATTATTCAAATAATTTGCTTACAATTAATTTGAATAAAAAGTTATTCGAAAAAATAATTGTCTTCCTTTACTTACTGGTTTTAAATATTTACTAAGTATAAAATATTATATTCTATTTGTACGAAATAATGCTTACAAATATAATTACTTGAAAAAAGCACTCACAAACTATTTGAATAATACTTTTCAAAATTATTTAAATCATTTTTTATTCCAATAATTAATTTGAAATTATTCGAATAACGCTTTACTTGAATAATGTGTTATCTAGAAATCTATACAACTCTGAATACATTGTATTGTAATGTATAATATATACAGGGTGATCCATCTGATGTATGGCAATCTTTTTCTCAGAAAATATGAATATTTCGAAAATTATTTTTTTCTTATACTTATATTTTACTATATATTTTAATACTTTGAACATTTCTATCTTCATCCCTTATACGTAAACATATTATTGACATCATTTTTTTCCCAAATGGGAACATGCTATGTTTTTAAATTTATAAATATGTAGACAAAACTGTTTAAAAAAATGTAAACGTTTGAATTTTTATCAAACTGTTTGTTTGCTAAGACTTTGCAAAGATTTTACATTTTCCATTAAAATTGTCATTTGCTTCGATTTTCCGAAATTCAGTAGCCCGTAAAATCCATATTAATTATGTTCGCATTGTCGGATAGGCAAAAACACCAATACCTTAAACAATGGAATGTTTTGAGATAATGATAGACAAGCGGTCCTAATCCACCTATTCAAATACTCTCACAAATTACAGAGTTTTCAGCGGATGTCAATTTTATTATTTAATGAGGATGCTACTGTTGTGCCTTAAATTCAAATCTTCACAAAGTCGTAACAAATGAACAGGTGTATGCAAGTTAAAAATTCAAACGCTTACATTTTTTTTAAAAAATGTCTACACATTTTTATAGTTGAAAACATATTGTGTTACCATTTAAAAAAAAACGAAGTCCATACTTCGATTATATATAAGGGTTGCACAATTCTGACCTCTGTTCTAAAAGGGCTAACGACAATCAACTAAACATGAAATTTAACTCACTCTTTATAATATACTAAAGTAAAAAAAAATTACACTCTCCAGGCATAGTTGAATAGCTTATGAAGAGTTTTGTGGAAAAAATTAACGCTGAGCTTCGTGGAAAATAAAAACTTTACAAAGCTCATTTGCAAAAATATACAAAAAGTTAGATTAGCCCTTTTAGACCCAAAGTACAGATACAAAAAAAAATGGCCCAAAGCTACTTATAAAGTACACGGACCGACTCTTGGTAGGCTTTGCTTCGCGCATCATCTTTTTATTATTTGTACCACACACATTTAATACATTTTGTTAAATTTACATTTTTATAAAAGTAATTTTTTTTATCTTGGTTGAACCTTAGGAAATGTAATCAATATTAAAATACACATAAATAGTGTAAATCCCATAATTATTAATACAAACATACTTTTCCATGCATATTATGGCAAATAATAAAAATTCATAGTAGCTATTGTTGTTTTTTTAGTTGCTTTATATATTTTTTTTGAATCATTGTAAATGTTTAAAATGACTATTTATTAACTATTGGTAGGTATTACAATTGGTCAGGTCGAAACAGGAATTTTAAAGGAGGAACTTTGGACAAACGTTATTTAAACAGTACAAATTATCTATAGGAAAGTATGGTAGATAATGTATGTTTTTTTAAAATCAAAATACAAAAAAAATTAGTTTTAAATGTCAACAAACGTGATTTTAACATTTTTCCACCACTTGAAAATAGTTTTTATATTTTTCTTAAGCTGTACGAAAAAACATTATTATAACATATTTAAAAAAATATGTAGAAAACACAAAGTATTTTTAAGATATTAATGTTTTCATAATGCTATCAAAGTTAATACTTTAAAAATATTATTAAATCATGTTGTGGCAGGGAATTGAATGTATTAAAAATGTTATTTATTATGCAAATATTTCAAATGATTTAAAAAATTTATATTATTATTGTAATTTGCTTAAAATTGATTTACAAACATTTGATCTGCTGCAAAACATAATTTTAAAATCTTTACTGACATTCAATGACAACATTAATATTTGTTTGATGTACGGAACGGGCCAAAGTAGACAGTAGTAAATAAAAATGGCGGATGCGTGTGAAAAAAGAGCTAAGTCAATATTTTATCTAAAATAATTTATACTCACAAAATAGTTCATGGAATAACCTCTTGTCGTTTGTGCTATAATGTACAAGTTTCACTTGATTTATGAAAGCATGTGCGTTTTGGGTCTACTTAATATTATTGTTTGCAAGCTTGGAGATTTTCAAACCAATATTTCCATAATAAACACATTTCATTCTGCTATTCTGAAAGTTTTTGCGAAAATCATTTATAGTTTTTGCTGTAAACTAATTAAAATACATGTATTTATATCAACTCCAATTCTTATCAGTAACATAATATTTAAAAATTATCTTAATCGTCAAAATATTTTTTTAACATTTTTTTTTATGTAGGAAATCAAATCAGTACTAATAATAATGTAACAAATTAAATAATATTTCCTAAATATTATAAATTTTATAGTAATCATTTTTAAAATCTTAAACAAATATTTTATTTTGAATTAATATTACTATTTTTTAAATAATTAATTTGATTGATTTCCCGTAATTGTTGATAAAAAATATAATTTTCAATTAAGGTAAACTTTCATTTCTATGAGAAAAACCTTAATTAGTATAATTTTACAGCGTTCAAAGATTATTTTTTTTGTTTTATTTAAATACAAAAATACATTCATAAATATTATTGTTGTATTTTTTTAGTTTTTCAAAATTGTCAATAAAAAAACTAATTTCTTTCTGACGAAAACCGTTAGTTTTTTTAATTAAAATATTTTCACTAAATGAAAATATTTCTATTTAATTTCGCAACGAAGGTTGCATTTGATAGCATTTACATTCATAATTCTCAGTCATCAATTATTGCATTCCTCAATTACTTTTAAAAGTATTAAATTGTTTAGTGTTAAATGAAAAAGCATCTTCCAACCCCTCCCATCATATAATTTAATTCAACAGTCTGCAATAGTCTATGTTGTAGAGTATCCTACCCACGTTTTAGTATCATATAAATATATATAAATTCGTCTAATTTGTTAGGGCTTATAGCTAATAGAAATTAGTTATAATAGAAAACATTTGTTCTGAGAACGATTTGCATTATATCCCAAAATAAAATGAAGGTTAAATATTGTGTAAAATATTGTAGTGTTTACATTATCTAAAAAATCACAGAATACAAGTAAAAATGTATGTTGGATAAAACGTGACAAAAAAAACTACACATTTTTTTGTTTAAAATGAATTTTTAATTTCCATAAAACGTATACCGGAAACAGTTTTTCGGTCTTAGTATTTTCCAGTTAAGGTTAATAAATATTCAGATTTGTGCGCCTTAATCGGTTGGCAACTGATCTCTGGAAGAAACCGAGAATAATCGGCAAATCAAATCTTAATTTGCAATAGTAATTTCTAAATGAACCGTAAACATAAAAAACTCAATGGTATAATTTGTTTTCCAAAAAATATTATGTATACTAATAATGAGAAGGATTTATATGCACTATGAAAAATTAAATATGTATTTTGTTTAGAAAAATGACTACTTTAAATAAAAATGCATTTGAATCTTAAACAAAAAACTTTATAGTTAAAAATTAAAAGCAATGACAAAAACATTGTTGTATTTAGAACTTTCCTACAAGAACCAATCAAATATAGTTAGATATTGTTTATTTTTTAAGTTCCACTTTTTTATTTGTTTATAAACAAGTATACACAAAATGTTATCTTAACAAGTACAATAAATTAGGTATACTAAATAAAGTATATGCATCAGGAACAATTGGTTTGCTTCGTTCGTATATTTTATACGTATAAAAATATGCAACAATATAAAACGATTGGGTTTCATCAAGCAATTAAGTAACATTTATAATAGTTGACAGTTATGAAAGAAACACGGTTAGCTGTGTTAATAATTGCAAAATCGAAACATTCTTTTTTAAGCCGCAAACTTTGATACTTAACCAAATTCACTTCAGTGAAACAGAGTATGAAAACAGATTATTGGCAATGTCATCGTTAGTTGATAGCTAATCGAATAAATTAGGTGATTAATGACATGTGTTTAGAAAAATAAATAATTGGTTGTAAAATAGAAAATAAGTTAAAAAGTAATATAATTACTTTTACAATTATTCGTATAATTGTCAATGAAATATTATGTATATTTTCAAAAATAATCAATAACATCATTGTCGTATGAACGTTCATTTATTTAACGATAGTTATTATTATTTTTAACGACATTTCGTGGTAATTTGAAATTGAGATTGCTATCCGTTTCCCGCAATGAGTAGTGTTATACAATGACAAAGAGAGAGAGAGAGAGGAAAAACGGAAAATACACAAATGTTTACTATGGCATATGAGTATACTTGTCAGAGTGTGACACGTGTGACAAGTATATTAGTTTTCGAAAACCGCCCAATTATTATGATGCTAAAACCACACAGTATTCGATTTCCCGACCATTTCGTATTGTTGTTTCCCGGTAATTGGCATCAAGGCTTCCCGCATTGTGAAAACACACGATATTTTTCACATCCACCTGTACAGACCATATTAGATCTCTCCCATGTGTGGTTTCTACAACGCCAAGTATAATATCTATCATTATTATTACCGTCCAAAATGATTCCTGCCCGCGTAATGAATAATGGCGATACCTACTGATAACAACCGCCAGTAATAATAATATATTGGCGGTTGTACCATCTATTTCCGTTGGCCGGAGTCGAGTTCGGAATATCGATGGAAATAATAATAATATCATTATAATATGTGCATCATTAAAAACGCGATCCTGTGTGTGAAAAATCGATGGACAATAGCCGGTGTATTGTATTGGCACATAAATGAAAACACAGTCTGTCAGCCGGCAACAATGGTGGGGAAATCGATAGGTTTCGCAAATTCCGCACGCACTCGACGATATTTAAATACACTGCATGACGTAGAAAGCCCACGTTAACCTTATTAACAGTGTATTAACACGGATCAGAGTGACCAAATTTTTTTACTGTAATCGCCGATAAACGGACCGCTACTTGATAGCATATATTGTTTTGTACAATAATTTAATCTCTAGAACGCGGTCCCCCACAGAGTCGAGAAGGGTTTTTCGCTTGTCATCTGGTATTTTTTTATCTAACTTGCAATATTGTATTCATTTTGCAGGTGTACGAGGAACAAGGATACGAAGACGCCGGATACGACCACGGCGGATCGAAAAAGATTAAGGTCGAAGAAGAAGTAAAAGACACGCACAACGTGGACGTTATCAGGTCGAATAGCAGTTCACCGTACAGCGGCCAAGAGACCAAAGAAAGCGCGGCCACGGTAGCGCCGTCGGGCCGCGGTTCTTGGAGCCGGCACAAGTCGTCGTCGGGCAGGAAAACCCGGTTCGAGGACGACGGCGGTGGAAGGGGAAAGCTGACCACGAAGGAGAACACGCCCACGAGCGAAAAGACCTCGGGCAACTTTACGAAATTCGACGGCGGCAGAACGATAGTCGTACAAAACTTGACCAGCACGGAGAAGAAAGACCACAAAGACAGCGCGGAATCCCGGCAAGTTAGCAGCGTCAGCAAAACAGCGACGGACAACGTGGAACCGACAACGTACCGGCCGGCCGGTAGACACGAGGGTTTCCGGCATTCGACCAAACCGCTCAAGAACGACGGCCGTGGTCAAAAAAGGAACCGGCCCAGGAACCGGCCTAAGAAAATCAACGCCGAAGACGCCGAACATCAGCAGTCCCATGCCGACGTGGTGGGCAGTTATGATAACACGCCGTGGGTGCCCATCCCGCCGCCGAAAGACTGGTCTACCAGACCGCAATTCGAAACGAAAAAACATCCCGGCAAATCCAAAGTGCACTCGGAAATGAACGAACCCGGTGGTCACGGGATGAGATTCGGATTTACCGTACACCACGACAACCCGTACCAGTACGTTTACCCGGCTGACACTTCGGGCCATGGCCACGCGACCAAACAGCCGGCGAAACCCATCAGGTTCAAACCGGAAATATCTGAGGTGGTCATGGGAAAACCAAAGGGGCCGCAAATCAATTATTTCGATTTCACCCCGGAAACGAATTACGACGGTAGTGCCATATATCAAAAACCGAAAAAACTCAAAGCAACGGGAAGTTCGTCCGCGGACCAAATTAACTTGTCCACCACTCCTAACTTCAAAGACCCGGTGGTATCGAAATACAAACCCGATTCGACACATAGCTCCCAGCATGAAGGAAGTGCCATTCGACAACGACCGAAAACCAAACCAGTTCAACAAGAAGCATTTGTAGAGTACTTCAGCAGCTACCCGAAGCCTGAATCGCCGCGCAATGAAAAAAAGAAAGGCCATAGAGATATCGAATCGGAACTGGGAATCTCGGGCAACTCTGGTTCCAGATATGTACCCACCGAGCACGCGGGTCTTGGATCTAACACAAAATACGAATCTCCATTTTATACCAAAAGACCTAAGCCTGTTTACAATACTGATTCGACGGGTGATTATAATGTGCATGATTATCCAAAGTTCGAATTATATCCAGGTACTCAACATAAGTTTGCCGTCAAGGAAAAATCTCCTAGTCTGAGACCGTCAACTGGTACCTCCAATTCCGAATTTAGTTATGTTCCTCCACGCGTTAACAAATATGAAGGCCCGCGTTTGTCTGAGTATCCAAAGTACAACAACAGACCAAAAAACGCGTACAGAGAATCACTTGAATCGTCTGAAAGCTGGGAAAACTACCCTAAAACCAAGCCAGCCTACCAGTCTTCGGAAGAAAGTTACTCCAAGCGTGGCGGTGGCAACAGTGAAGAATATCCCAAATTCGACCACCGCAACAAAGCCGGCGATAACACTCGATCCAAGTCAAATCACATGTATAGGTTAGTACCATACCAGAAGCAAACGAAATTGAACAACATGTATTCGTACGTACAACACGACGACCATTTTCCGTCGGGAAGTCACCAGAGTAGTGTCAAAACGGAAGCTGCGGCCCCAAGTTTGACAATGGCGAAAAAAGATGGATATGTGAACAACCGACATCCTTTTTTGCCCAAAGACTCGCTCAAGAACAACCCACAAGAACACAAGTCCGAAGACGACAACACAAAGCACGTTGAAAACCTGACACTAGCACATTTGGCCGGTCTTCACAAGTCCGGTTCCCATCGTCCCCTTCCCATCGAGTACAACGAACGTGTGAATAATTTGGCCAAACTCTTAAACGATAACTATCCGAGAAGTCGAACCCGTCGTGATCTAGAAGTGATTCATATCGCTTCGAGCGGTACGACAACCGAAATTCCAGTCGACACGGTTGTCTATCCACATTACAAGCATGCCCCGAAACAGTCTGCGATAAGATACGCTACCAATCCAAATTTGAAACCCCGTAAAACGGAGGGCGGCATGGAGTTCTACGAGTCTACGGATAAAGTCAGATGCGAAGAAGTTTCTGGACCGGCCGAGGTAGTTCCAGAACGAACCGAAGAAGGAGAGTGGAAAGGGGAACCCCGGCCTGGCAATCCGAGGGTGGAAGCTGTTGGAGATAAGATCGGGTGTTTCAAGACGAAATTTTTCGGCGAAGACCCTTTGGACAATCCGTTTTTCAAAGAAAAAACAGTGGGGTTTCCCGATGTGCTATACTCGGAGAGGAAACCGTTAAGAAACCAAGAAAACGTCGATCCGAATTTAGATTGGAATTTCGCAGAAGAACTAATTCCGGGACAATGGTTCCCAGATAAAGACAAAAGAACTCGAAGGTATGTAAATATGCCGATATCATAAACGTAAATTTATTCAAAATTCTAAATTCAAAAATACAATTTTTTAGATCAGGTAATGAAAGTTTACCGAACAACCATAAGATTCAAGGAATGGATTCTATTCTACCAGAGCCAGTTATTTTAACATTTCCGACCAAAGCCACAACAGTTGTTTACAATATAAATGACACAAGATCCAACACAGAGAATGGAGACACCGAAGGATCGTCCAACCAGGAACACGTATTAAAATATTCAATTAAACATCCTGTACCACTTGGCGAGTCTACCGTAGTCAAAAACCATTTAGTAGACAGCAAAATATTCGGCCTCATTCCACCTCCGCAATTGAAAAAGAAACCGACCAATCCCGTTAAGCTGAAAACTCCTTCTGTAAAGAAACTATTGAAAAAAATCAAAGTGGAAGACGATTCGGACGAAGACGGTTTGCTCGACGTTCTTAGTCCCATTTCTTTTTTTCTAAACGACGACGACTATGCTGCTCCGGTGGTCCATAACTTTTTCAACATAAAAATGTCCGCGCCCGCTACGCTCCAGACTAACACCATGGTCGATGGGAGTTCCGAAAAAAACGTCAATAAAGTGTACTTAAAAAACTACAGAAGACAAAAGAGGAACATGCAAGGGGTGGATTTACAAAAACCCAGACAGAGGAACATCGACTTCAACGCCAACACCAACCTTACGGTGTCTCCGGCCACGTCCAGGGTAAGAATGTACTCGACCGACAACGGCACTTGGTTTCGCAGCAAAAGGGATCAAACGTCCGTCAACGTGGACGTCAGAAGAAAAGAGCCCAGGTATTATTATCATACACCAAGACCGAGGGTCAGAGTGAAACGGGTCGTGCACAGCCCGCCCCCGACCTACAGTAGAAGTGGTCAGGTGTTTAGTAGCAAATACCTAATACCGGACCAGGATAACGGGGAAACGTTGCCGGAAGAAATCAATGTCGCTTTTTCCACCACTACGCCCAAGTACAATTCGAACACACAGTTTATACCGGCAATAGCTTTTGGCGACAGCAAGACCAAAGTGATACAGTACAACGACAGCGTGGCCAACAGTACGAACGGTGTGGAACGTGCGCAAATCGACCGAAACAACTCGCTCATATACGTCATCAATCCGGATAACGGCGTGGGCAAATGGATGCAAGTGATCAAAGTAAAAAACGACGAAGAAGACGCCAGATCGTCGTCTTTCGGTCAGGGTCCCATTTATTTGGAGAAAAAGATCAAAACCGAAGGTCACCCCGTACACGGTAACGGACTGACTTTTGCCGGGAAGAAAGTCAAAACCGAACAAGACGACAAATCGTCGACGGGCAACGGGCCGGTTTTTTTTGAGAAAAAACTCAAAGACGGTATCGCCGAAGAGACTGTCGGTAAATTCGGATTCAAGGGACTGGACCGGGATTTCTTAAAAAACATCATAAGGTCGCCGTTAAGTCACAGGTTCGCGCTAAAAGACACTCTGATCAAATTCCCCAAAAAGAGCGAACAGTCGGAGGATGGACCGAAAAAAGTAATATGCCCGGTAATCAAACAGATGAAAAAGAAAGAGGTACAATACGAATTTTACAAAAAGTAATCGTTGTTAAATGATTTTTTACTGTTTTTTTTTTTTTTTCAAATTTTAGATGAGGAGACGAACGACTACGACTGAAATACCTGTGGTGGAAGATTTCGAAGAAAGCCCGGTGGTCGAACAAAGCGGAGAAGAAGAGAATCCCGAACCACAAGAAGAAGAAGGCGGCGGTGGAGAAGGAGGAGGAGGAGGAGGAGGAGGAGGAGGAGAGAGAAGAAGAAGTAGAAGCAGAAGTACAAAACGAAGAAGATCACCCGGAACAGAACGAGAGCGAGGAGAGACCCGAAGAAAACGAAGAACATGATCAAGATCAAGATCAAGATGTACACGAATCCAAACGGAAAAAACCAATCTCTGTAGCGAAAAAACCAGAATTTTACGGATATCACTTACATCCAAGACAGAGGCGCAAACAAAAAAGAGAATAAACAACAGTTGTTAAGTTATTAAAACTGTAATAATTTATTGTGTGACTATGTTATTAAAATTAAAAAAAAAAATATATATATAATATAAATTGTTATTATCCGATTAGGTCTGTAAATAGTACCGGATGTGTTAATAAGTCTAAAAAAACAAAACTTCATTACCTGTCGAAATGTCAGTCTTACAATTTAATTTAGTACACTACGTTGAAGTGTTAATTGAATTATAGTTTGTTAAATTATACTATTCTAAAATAATTGTGTGTTATGAATTTTAATTAAAAATATTTAATGTTTGAAAAGCGCATTTTCGTCTATATCGTGCCTGTTTTGTCATGAAAATTTACTCTTTATAAACTATGTGACATAAATAGCCAATGACTAAAAGTAAGGTTAGGATTGAAACGAAATTTATTAATTATAGATTTGTCAATTGATGGCTAAAAATAAAATAGTAAAATTGATTAATTTATCGACAAAATGATAAAATAGGATAACATTTAAAAAAGGGACCAGCTTATTTGTATATGAAAATGGCACTCAAGCTAAATCTCATTAACAGTATGATTAATAATTCGTGTTACATTTCTTTTTCTATATTAAATGATTTTTTAATTAAAGTTAAAGTTAATCATTTTATATTATAAATTAGTAATAATTGTATTTAATTATTATAATAATTAGTTTATATTATTTTAAAGTTTGATTTACCAAGGTAAGTCAAATAGCACCCATAAAAAGAGGATTTTTTTTCATTTACACCTCTCACTTAAGAAAATGGTCTTAAAAACTCATGTTTAAGCAATGTTGGTAAAAAACAAGGCGTGAAACATTTTTATCACGAATAAAATAAATATAGTTATTGTATTGCATAATTAATACCTAGTAATAATAATTAGTATAATAACTATTACAATATTTATGATCTTTATTATTATTATTTTACTCGAAATTAGTTTCGCTGTAATAATTATTTTTTGGAAAAAATTGCTACGAAATAAAATATTGATAGATTTAAAATTCTATAAATAAAGACCCATTTTTAGGTTTTTTTTTTTTTTAAACATTCGTTAAGCACACACTTGTTTACATAAAACCATGACCATTTCATTGTATGGAGATGTCCAATTAAATCTAAAAATTGTCAACGTTAATAAATATCCTGTTTAAAATACTTTTAAATTGTATATTCTTATTTTGATTTTATTATTCTAGAATATCACGTAAGACGCCATCGCAGTTGATGTAAAATAGTAAAAAAAAAACTCCAAGCTTGTCCAACAGTATATTTTATAAATACAGTACAATATATATGATGTGAAAGAAAAATTTAAAGGCAACACAAGTAAGGAAATTGTGTCTACTGCGTTCGGGTTTTGGATTTATATTTATAATATTAATTATTATTATGATATATAAATTCAAAATTCAAAATGCCATTTTTCAAAAATTAGAATATTGTAATTATACAATTATACATTTTAAAAGTAATCGAATCATGTCATTATAATAATATGCTTTAAATATTGTACTTTTATTTTATCACTTTGTAGCTATTAGTTAATTCAGCTGACGAATTATACATAACAATATGATAGCCTAACTTGTTTCCTTGCTAATTTAGTGACTTATACATGCAATTGTGAGAGCTGTTAGAGAATAACTTAACGGCGCACACGTTTATTTTTTATTATTCACATTATAGTATACAAATATTGCCTATGTATAACTCCTTAAAAAAATGTGAATAACTATTTTTTTATTATGTTATTTTTGACAGCCACAATTAGTCAGCTAAACAATGAAATAATTTTCACGGTACACTTTTTATTTGGTTTAAAAAAAAAATGTATTTTAATATTATTTAACTGAAACCGAATACTTATTTGTTAGTATTTTTTAAAAAACCGCATCGTTTGATCAACAATGCAAATACCGTAAAACCATATAACCTTCACAAAGGTATAAGTCACAAGTGCACTTATACCCTTTTGGTTCCATATAAATTGTACTCTACTGGTATATAACTTCTATAAAGAGGGTAAATTTCTTTTTTTTATGTCTTTTCTGTTATAACCCCGTGCCCTTTTTCAGCTACTAATTAAATTCAATTGTAATATATTTTATTCTGTTTATTTATTCAAAAGTTTAATATCGGGTTTTCCAAAATTATAAAAACTTCTCTTGTACCCTTTTTGCGGATCACACTGCTTCAATTATGTACATTATACATTATAATGTATAAACGTTGTAAATAACTTTGAGCAATAACATTTAATACAATTTTTCAGTATTAAAAGTTTGTCCGAATATTTCAAATAATGTTTATCAATTTTTTTCCTTGGCTGACCTTAAACAAACATTTAAAAAAATGTCCACATAATATTATCATTTATTGATTAATCTTTATTTCTTTTGTAGTAAACACAGTTGTACTTATAAATTATCTTTCGGGCAGCGCGTATTAGACATAACGTATTGCCTTACTTAAATTCCATGTACATCAAATATGTACATTAGTCTCTATTGAAAACATATACTACCATTGGAATAGTTTGTATATGGTTTTATAACAATTTAACTGCGACGACCTGTTAAGTGATATTCTAAAAAAAAAAAATTATTCATTGTAAACAATAAAATCAAAATATAGGTATAAATAATATTTAGAATTATTTCAAAAGATATTTATTGATATTTCATAATTTTCAGAATTAAATATGACCTCACTAATCTGTAAATCTTGATGTAAAACAAGTTGTGCTTTTAACACTGTTCTATTTTATTTGTACTCAACATTTTGGAAATACATACAAAATAGTATTACACATTACTCGCTGTGCTTAGGTAAAATTTGTATTGTAATGTACGTAGCAATATTATTTAAGTAACATAAAATGTATGTAGTTTTGAAATTATTAATTATTATAATTTTGATGGATACAATTATTAACTGTCAATCGAAAATCGTTTACAGCTAAAACCTAACCATGTTTTTTTAAAGTTTATTTTTTAATCATCATATTTATTTTTAATTTATCCGACACATCTATGAGTTGTACACATTTATGGTATATTTATATTTGATATCTGTGAAATGGCTGTTCAAACATATTTGTGTGCGATACCTACTTGTAAGCATTAATTAATCGATTGCGTTGAATCGTTAAGTAACATAGTATTAATCTTTTTAAATATTATTGTTTTTAAATCGCGTTCAATACCCGAGGCTTGAACGGACGAATTGTGTTCAATCTGTTTACCTATATTATAATAGATAGCGTGCAAGTATGTTTTTTTTTAAAAATATGTCATTGTTAAGTATCGGCTGGCACCGCCGACTGGTTGCCCACAAGTGCGGTTCTTTTGTGGTCCTGACCTAGATTTTCGGCCATTTCGTCTTCCGTGATCGTAATAAGACGTATAATAATATTATTATTATGTTAATATATAAAATAATAATATAATATGATAATGATGTGCAGTGGCCGTGTGAAAGGACGCGTAACACACGCAAACGTCAATGAGCATACTGTGCTTAGAAGTATTTCATACATCATAATAATACAAGTACTTCACTTAACTCTTGGTAATTAATTTGACCGTAGAAAAATCATAATTACAATAATAATATGTACCTACGTTATTATAATATTATTTATTATTATCAACGTCGAAGATCGGCGGGAAATCATTGGGGTTTATAATAATATAATAAAAATCATATTGCAATAATAATAATACCTAATTAATATTATATCGTTACAAGCCCGGACACCATTATAGGCGTGCAAGGAGACTTTAACGGCCGTTTCAATGGTGTCTGCAAAGAAACAAACAAAAACAAATGTTTAGAATTCCTTTTGGAACACAAATTACAGTAAGTCGGTGTGTGTGTGTGTATGTGTGTGTGTCTTAAATGGTCTTTGTCTACATGCGCAAGGACAGCCGATCGATTACCGAAGAGAGTAGAGTTTTATGACAGAATAGCCCTAAGACATCACTTGTGGTTTCTGAACCAATAATTGGCTTTTTACGACTTTTAATTTGATCGCTATTAGAATGAAATAGATCCGTACAAATCGGTATCGGACGAGCTTAGGACAGCTACAATAATAATAATAATAATCGGTTCGCTGCTCGTGCATTATCCTATTAAGCAAGTACTGCACATCTATTATTGTGATGCACGGTGGGTTTTGGAATGTTCGATAAAACATATTGTGCTTTGATCTGATGTTATTGTACGCATCAACAACAGGAAAGACAACTAGAGCATAGGTCGATACCGTTTGGTAATAAAAATGTTGAAAGAAAGGTATCAGATATGATTACAAAAGTGATTTATTAATAAAATATTACTCGAAAAAAAATGTATTATTATGAAACTAATTATTTCATTCCGCCATTACTTGAAGCACAAACATGTACATAATGACGACATCATTCGTTAAGTACCTATTTAACAGTCTAGTGCAAGCAAGTAAAACGTTTTTAAAGTGTGTATTTAAAAAACGTTTTAAAACCCCATTTAGGAACTTGCGTTTCACTTTCTTCAGTATAAAGAGGTTTAATAAACCCGGTTTTTTTTTTGTACTGGTAATAAAATACCAAAACTTTTTTGACGCGTTTGACCCTAAACCGATTTTCAAACAGATGACCTAACAATATGAAAACCTATTTAAAAACTTCTACATATTTTAGTGTCAGAACTGCTAAAATATAATATATTAATTATTTTTTATAGGCCTTTGATTAAACATTATTTTTTTTAATAAATAATTTTTGTAATAGTTAACAATTATAAAAAAACAAAGTATACCTGTAATTTAGGGCGATATCTACATACATTTTGATTAAGTTATTAATACATTTTACTATAATATAATATTTATAGATGTACTAAGAAAAATATTATTATGGTGTTATTCACTTATTTGTTTTTGAATTGCAGACCAAAAGCATAAAATATTTTTATTGGCTGGTGTTGAATAATTTTATTTTATTGTACGGATTTTCTGTGTTCTAAAACAGCACTTTGATATATTTATGTAATACATACATTTTTTTATTGTATATTCTCTTCCATTTCGGGTTAAGTATTAAACGTTTTTATAGCATTTACGGCCGCATCGTTGCATTTTGTGGTTAAATTTAAACAGTTTTTTACTGTTCACACTCGAATAAAACATACTCATGATAAGTTCTATCCATAAAGTATCAATAAAATATAAAAGCTATAACGCACACCATTCACAATAGTCGTTACCATAACATTTTCTTTATGCATTTTTAAAAATATTTTTCCATAATTCAATGCTGTTTTCCGTTAGAACTAAAGTAATATTTCTTAAGTATACCTCAAAGTGGACTAGATGTACAATATAGTCAATAGTCGTCCAAATTATACATTTTTGTGCAAAACTGAAATGTCGATTATAAATTTATTGAAGAATGAAACTTTGAGATATCTTCTACCGGGTTATTGGACTGTTTGGCCACGGTAATGACAAAAAAAAATCTCTATTTTTAAACATAAGCTTTGTTAAGAGCTCTACAAAAAAAACTTGGAATTATGTCAGGTAAAACGGCCTAAAGTGCATAAAAAAATAAAACTGATATTTATAAAAATAATTATATTTATAATAATCAAATTAATTATTTTAAATAAATAATACAGACAATAATAACGTCTTGAAAAAGAAGAAACATAGAAATGATGTTAATATAAATATATTATAAGTAACGCTCTGTTTTCTTTTTATACTTATCAGTTTAATTTTAATTTTTCTAAGCTAACAATATTATGAAAATATAGATAAAACTATTTTCTTATGATTAGCCCGCAATAATAAGTTAGTAGTCCAATAGCTAATTGGAAATAAATGGCTCAATTATCATACATTCTTAAAAACAACATTTAAAACTTAAGAATTAAAAAAAAGCTATGTGATGTATTTGAATGGAACAAAAATGTTTTTTCTACCAAATTTATACATACAAATAGGCCTTTGTTTAAACTGTCGATTTTTGTTGTTAGATAATCAATTCTTAGGTAAGCCGTAATAGACAGCTAAAAAAATTGCTACCAAATTTTTTTTTTTAAAAGTATACAAGACAGATTTGAGATAAAAATAAAACCAAATGGACAAAAAGATTCAAAGTGATAACAGTTTAGAAAAAATCATGTTTTTCAACGGAAATCTTTAAATTTGAACAACCAAACACAACAGAGCATATTAACAAGTTTATAAAATCAAACCAATAACAGTGGCTGAACCTTTAAATCCGCATAATTTTGGTAATAATGATAATTATTATTTATTCATTTTTTTTATCGAATAAATAAGTAAAATTGACATGACTATAATAGACTATACTTAATTGAAAGCGAAACATAAAATAAACAACAGTCCTTTTTTTAATTGTTATTTTTTTTTTATATAAGTAATTAATTATTATAAACATGATCGGTCATAACAATACAACCAAACGCTGTTGTAATTAGCTTTATACAAACAAATTAAATATTATTTGAATATGAACTTACTTGCGTTATGTAAGCTACGCAAATAGTACGGTTCTGTGAGTACAAATTCTCTTGGTCGGACTTAAGGTCGACCGCAGGGAAGAACTCTTTTGCGGTTGTCCTTGGTCGAGTTTCCACTGCGTCGTAAAATTGAGCTGCACCTTAATTATTACTAACTAAAGTCTATTGTTGTGTTATAATACAAATTAGATTATCGGGGGAAAACTCCTTAAAACAGCAATAAAAGGAACACACTCGACCAGGAAAATATCAGTACCACCGTGTGATATCAGACTCTCAAGTTGTTTACATTTTTTTCAGCGCAGTTTTCAAAAACTACAGCTATAGAAATGGCAGCCAAATTAGTTTTGGTAAGGAAATTAAAATACTACATATTTGTTTTTTTTTTAACTTACACAATTTACACGTCGACAATAAACAAAGTTCAAATCTTAGTTTTAAATATTTGACTTTACAAATACTCAAATAAAATCTACAATTCAAGTGCATGCAAATATTTTGTTGAAAGTTTCAAATGTATAGAAAGTAATGTTAATCACTTTTTTGTTGTGCAATGAAAATTCATTAAAAAATTAAAAAAAACCTTAAATTTTTTGTAACGAAATAACGTTATACAATTATTTGGTAGCCGGTTTTACTATAAATGAACAAAGTTCAACTAGCAATAAAATCATACTTTTATAAACACTCAAGTAAAAACTATTTTTTTTTTAAATTTAAATACCTAACAGATTTATAATATAATATAATATTAAATACTATATATGTATTTTATTCAAAATTAATAACAATTGTTAAATGTAATTTGAAAATTATTTTATTTTTATAACACAGAATACACAGAAATTAAAAAAATGTTCCATTTTCAATATATTTAATTGATTCCTGGAAATAATAAGTATAAAGTTTGATGAAGTTTTATACACAATTAAAGGGTTCATTTTTAAAATTTGTAACATATAAATAACGTTGTTGATATTAATTTTGTGTTAATATTGATTAATAAAATTGTTTAAACAAAAAAAGAACATTATTACTTTGACAATAACTGATATAGAATAATACTATGATTTTCAAAAAAATATATTATTAAAATATTTTTAAAGTATATTCTTGCTGTCTAGAAAGGAATAGACTAACAAATAAATTTCTAATAATATGCTTTTCTGTGAAACAATACTTTATTTAACATTCATTTTTATGACGGTTTTTAATTATAAGACGGGAAAAAGTTTTTTTAGTTTTATAAGAATTTTGCCTAAAAACTAAACCATTTTTGGTTTTTACTCGTGAAGAGTTGCGGTCCATACAGAAGTACAAACATTTTATATTTTATATTATCTATAGTATGTTTTATTGAGTTTTGGTGGAAAATAAGTATAATATTTGTTTGATGTCATATACAAAAACAAACAGGGTTAATTATTACATTCACTATAATCGGGAAACGTTATAGAAAGATATTTTATGTTTATATTGATAAGTATAGTTTTTTAGCAACATCACAAACAGTATTACTGCGTCAATAACTCTCATAGGATAATATGATTTTCAATGAAATATTATACAAATGTTTGTATAAACATATTTTTGCTGTGTAGGATGGAATAGACTTATGGTTACACACATATTTTAATTGCTTTGGTTTAACTTCATTGTCCGCAGATCGTGTGCATGGCTTTGTTCGCTGTCAGCTTCGCAATGCCCGCAGCGCCGTCGGCTGAATCTCAGCCAATCGAACCCAAAGAAGGCGAACCAAAGGAAAATCTGAAAACCGCTGAAACCGCTTACGGTTACTACGGCTACCCGTCCTACGGCTACGGATACAGTCCTTACTCTCAATACTACTCAGGCATCGGATACAGAAGTCAGTACATTTCATATCATGACTTTGTCTATACTTATTAGACTGCAATTATCGATGCATGTGTTTCATATAATATTTCCATTTCAGGCGCAGGTATCGGCTACCCATACTACGGTGGATACAACAACTACTACTACAACTCATACCCAGGCTACTTAGGTTACTATTAGTGATATCACCGAAACGACGCAGTGCAATCAAAATGTATAATACAAAACAATTGACTTTAAATCAATACTTACATATATTTTGTACCTCATTATTTTTTATTTCTAAATAAACGCTCACATAGTAAAACGGTTCTACTACTTTTTGTTGTTTTTCTATTAGTTTTTTTAAGCTTTTTCTATTAGTAAGTAAATCATTTTTTAAGCATGAAAACTACCCAATATCGAGCCATGACTGGTAGTACAAGACAATTGCTACGCCAAAGGGATTGAAACGTTTAGAAACTAAACCGTTCATAAAATCAAAATGGATTAGTTTATTGTTGTTCTAATCGGTTTATATTTTCCAAGAGTTAAATTTTAGTTAATCAATATTTTAGATGATTAATAGACTGTGAACAATTTTTTCCTTTTTTCTGAGTAGAAGTAACTTGGGGTTTATAACTTTTTTTCAATAAACTAATTATTTACCGATTTTTATTTCATTTAAGTTACATAATATACAATATACTTGGCATGAGTAGGTTGGCTACTTTTATTTTAGTTCTTGAATAACTATATTTTGATTATCAACACTCTTTGCGAACACAAAACATAATATGGCCAAACCTATTTACAAATATAACCCAACAAGAACATATTTTGAAAGAATGTAATTGGCCAAAATACATTGTTGTTGAATGATTTTCCCGCATAATAGGAAATCGGTGTGAGATGTTGTGCAAAATTTCTATTTTTCTAAATACCTGTGCTATTATGAATAGTTTTATTTTGAAAAATACACTTATTTGGTTATAAATAAATAAATAAACAATTCAGCTATGATTAACGTTATCAAATTACATTTAATAAGTAATAAATAAAATTATAAAATGTATAAAAAATGAATAGAAACTCTACGATAGTATACTGACAAAAGAGCTATTACATAATAAGATAAGTATAATATTATACTTATTGGTAACAGTTTTTATAGCTGTTGTACGATATTAAACAACTAATGTTTATAGTTATTTCATTGCAAAGACAACATTTTGATCGCTTGTGATGTGATTAGTAATGTTATTAAACTTTAGCCTGCAGCTCCATGTACTAACTATTCTATATCTAAAGAAATATTTAAACATATCGGAAGCCATTTAAGAAGGGCTATAGTTTGATTTTTTTTTACACAAACCTATTGATTTTTATTTTATCTAAAAAATGAACTACCGATTAAGAGTCCTCGTTATTATACTAAAAAGGTAATACAATATAATTCATAAGCTATGAATAATAAAGATAATCCATAGCTTTGGTTAACTACTTAATAAATATTTTTTTCCATTTTATGCCAAAATTGTACAAAGAGTTACCAATCTTATTTATGCAAAGTATATTGCGCACAATTGTTAATAATTATTTAAAAGCTTTCATATATTGTTAAAAAAACTTAATTTAAATAGTTAAAATGATAATAAAATGGGTAATAATTTTATACTATTTGTATATATAATATTACATATTTTAATATGCAATTTTATATTTTAATGGCTTATTAAAATACAATTAAAATGATTAATCATTTTCCGAATATTTTCCTATTTATAGGAAAACATAGTACTCCGTTTATGTAACTCCTAAAATATTGATACATAATAAACCATTTATAAAAATTATATTAAAAAAAAATTTGAGTAAATTTGAGTAAGTTGAAGAAAAGTTTTAATAGTCCTGGATAAATAGTACATTCGTGGCATGAACTTGGTCACCAAACTTTTGAATAAAGTGTATTATAATATTTTATAAGAATATTTTTAGAAGTATATCTCATAATTCGTTTCATCAGATTTCATTACAAGGTAGCTTAAACATTTAAAATATTCCTTATGTGGAAAGTATGAAGTCAAACATTAATTTCGGTTAGTGCTTAAACTTAAAAGTCAGTTTTGCATAAAGAAATAGTAATATTATTTACATAAACAATTTTTTGTAAAAAAAAAACTGTAATAGAACAGGATGAAAAAGCTAAAATAAAAAAAAACTTAAAGAATCATTTTACTATTGTCAGCATTTATTTAAAAAAATAAAACTGTTATAAAAAATATGTAGAGATTTTGCTTTAAAGTCGATTGTTCCGTATTATACATTTTGATTGCACTGCGTCGTTTCGGTGATATCACTAATAGTAACCTAAGTAGCCTGGGTATGAGTTGTAGTAGTAGTTGTTGTATCCACCGTAGTTCTTGTTGGGTTATATTTGTAAATAGGTTTAGCCATATTATGTTTTGTGTTCGCAAAGAGTGTTGAGAATCAAAATATAGTTATTCAAGAACTAAAATAAAAGTAACCAACCTACTCATGCCAAGTATATTGTATATTATGTAACTAAAATGAAATAAAAATCAGTAAATAATTAGTTTATTGAAAAAAAAATTATAAACCCCAAGTTACTTCCACTCAGAAAAAAGGAAAACATTGTTCACAGTCTATTAATCATCTAAAATATTGATTAACTAAAATTTAACTCTTGGAAAATATAAACCGATGAGAACAACAATAAACTAATCCATTTTGATTTTATGAACGGTTTAGTTTCTAAACGTTTCAATCCCTTTGGCGTAGCAATTGTCTTGTACTACCAGTCATGGCTCGATATTGGGTAGTGTTCATGCTTAAAAAATTATTTACTTACTAATAGAAAAAGCTTAACAACAAAAACTAGTAGAACCGTTTTACTATGTGAGCGTTTATTTAGAAATAAAAAATAATGAGGTACAAAATATATGGAAGTATTGATTTAAAGTCAATTGTTTTGTATTATACATTTTGATTGCACTGCGTCGTTTCGGTGATATCACTAATAGTAACCTAAGTAGCCAGGGTATGAGTTGTAGTAGTAGTTGTTGTATCCACCGTAGTATGGGTAGCCGATACCTGCGCCTGAAATGGAAATATTATATGAAACACAAGCATCGATAATTGCAGTCTAATAAGTATAGACAAAGTCATGATATGAAATGTACTGACTTCTGTATCCGATGCCTGAGTAGTATTGAGAGTAAGGACTGTATCCGTAGCCGTAGGACGGGTAGCCGTAGTAAGCGTAAGCGGCTTCAGCGGTTTTCAGATTTTCCTTTGGTTCGCCTTCTTTGGGTTCGATTGGCTGAGATTCAGCCGACGGCGCTGCGGGCATTGCGAAGCTGACAGCGAACAAAGCCATGCACACGATCTGCGGACAATGGAGTTAAACCAAAGCAATTAAAATATGTGTGTAAACATAAGTCTATTCCATCCTACACAGCAAAAATATGTTTACACAAACATTTGTATAATATTTCATCGAAAATCATATTATCCTATGAGAGTTATTGACGCAGTAATACTGTTTGTAATGTTGCTAAAAAACTATTCTTATCAATATAAACATAAAATATCTTTCTATAACGTTTCCCGATTATAGTGAATGTAATAATTAACCCTGTTTGTTTTTGTATACGACATCAAACAAATATTATACTTATTTTCCACCAAAACTCAATAAAACATACTATAGATAATATAAAATATAAAATTGTTGTACTTCTGTGTAGACCGTAACACTGTTTTAGTTTGTAAACAAAATTCTTATGAAAAAATATCTTATAAAACAAAAAAAAAACTCATTTTATGTCTCGTGATTAAAAACCGTCGTAAAATGTAATTTTTGAATAATTTACTATATTGTCTTTTCGCAGAAAATCATTTTATACAACTATTCCCTTCACTAAATTTCGAGACTTAATATAATATTATGGTGTACATAAATTAAAAAATATTATTTGCTTGATTTTTTGTCTGTGTAAACATTTTATTGCTAGTTGAGCTTTGTTTAGTTAAAACTATTGTTTTAATAAATTACTGAATTTGTATTGCATAAAAAACAATTGTTATTAACATCAAATCTGCCCTTATACACGTGCAACTTTTGTACATTTAAGAAAATATTCCTATGTACTTGAAATGTTAAGATGCATTGAAGTACTTGAGTATTTATAAAACATTTATTTAGTAAATTTTCTTACCAATACTAATTTGGCTGCCATTTCTATAGCTGTAGTCTCTGTTAACTGCGATGAAAAAATGTAACAACTTATCAGTGGGAAATCACTTGGTGGTACTGTTTTTTTTTTGGTCGAGTATATTCCTTTTATTGTGGTTTTCCCCCAAATAGTCATATTTTTTTAAACGATAGACAACGGGTCATTAAGGTTCGATAAAATTGTATGACGCAGTTAAAACTCGACCAAGGATTTTTGTATTCGTTGCACACCCGTGCGTTGAGTTCATTAAAGGTGTAACACCACCCGTCTAAGTCCTGGGGCGATGTATTTTATATGTAAATGAGACTTTAATGTAGTTAAGATCTAGTCAAACGTTCATTTAGGATCCACTAAATTAACCCTATTGACCATCGCCCGGAGCAAGCCAATCCTACCAGCAAAATAGACACCTTATTAAAAAGTAAATCTACTATAAAAATTATATTTAAAAAAAGCCAGACTAATAAAATTGGAGCTGCATTGGCATGTCCAGTTGTAACACAATAGTTCGTATAAAGGTCTTTTGTTTAAAACACATTATCATAGGAATTTAAACGCCTTTGGTTTAATATGATTTCTCATTGATAAATACAGTGTTCCTGACCCTAATGTGGGAACAACAGTACAGAGTTTCCCTTTTTTTTTTTTACAATTTTATAATACTATTATTGTAATCGCCATGTAATGATGTTTGACAATGTCATTAGTTGAAACTACACAGGCAAAATATCCCTTAAGGCAAATTAATTATTTTACTACGTTTTGGAGAGGAATACCTAAAAAAAAAAAATAAGTAATATTATATAGGTAATGTACTTATAGTCTGAACAATAGGTAATTTCTTCATAAACTCATTAAATTGTTTTCATATTATGTTTTTTTAATGATACTTTTTTTTTTAGTATAAAAAGACGAGTATGTGTCAAAAAAAATCAGTATAATTCTAGTGTTCTTCACGGTTTGGTCGCAACCCCGAAATAAAACCGCTGTCCAAAATGGAAGCTAAATTCTTAGCATTGGTGAGCAGTTATTTATTATTATTGGTTTTTTTATTGAATTTATTAGAGACGTCGTGAGCTGCAATTTAAATTTTTCTTGATACACATTACAATATTGATCTAGGTTAATGCTTTTTGTGTACAAAATAATACAGGTAAAACATAGTTAAATTGTGGCTTTGCAAATCATTGCATAGATATCTCAATCATTTATAAGCTTAGCTCAAGTATTTTATTTTGTAAATATAATATTTTACAATAATTGTTCCGATAGTTTTAAACATGTTTTTAGATAATATTTTGGGAGGAAATCAAACCTTATGGACTAAATAAATATTTAAATTATATTTTACATATTCTAGTCAGGCGGCACTGCTGAGAGCCTTCCTATTCCTTCATTATTGAATATTGTCACTGTATCATTGTCATCAGACTTGCTGATTATACATACTTGTATAGATTGTAAATAAGAAAAAAAATTATATTTTCTAAATATTATAAGTACAAACATTTTACAAGATTTATTTAAAGAAATTAAATACAAGCTTAGCACATATTGTTATCTTAAAACATCTCTGTTATCAAATAACTGGAATTTATCAACAAAAAAAAAAAAAACAGTTAAAATTTCAACTGTGTCAAAAAATCAAAATTTGTTTCTGTCAAAACTTCACTACTTCAAACCGGATTCGTTTCAGATGGTGTGCATGGCTTTGGTTTCGGTCAGCATGGCTAAAGACGATTCTCTTAAGGTCGACTCCAAAGAGTCTATGGAAGCTTCCCAGACATTATACTACGGTGGTGCTTACCGGTCGGCTTTGACTCTCTTGCCATACGGCGGTCCATACCGAGCAGCGTACTCATACGGTGGTCTATACCGAGCGGCTTACCCGGCCTTGCCATACGGTAAGTGTTGAGCCGTTAAATCATTGAATTGGGTTTTTTCAGTACACACAATTTTTGTGAAAAACCCAATAATTCTTGTCTACATATATTTTTTTCTTAAATTCGAAATAACATGTGTTGATAATAATGTGTTTTAGCTCATTTTTCGTACGTACCAAAAATCAACTACCAAGTCGGCTACGCACCTTTAGTGAACTACTTGAAATAATTTTGAAAAAGTACACACCTTATGATTTCATTTCAATACTTATTTTTTCCACAATAGATTGATTCATACATAAACCATTCTTGTAATGTACTAAAATTGTAACAGAAAAAATAATAAAAAAACGGATACATTATATCATTTCATCATTTGGTTTTTATTTGGAAATCTGTACATTTCATTTAAGTGTTACAAACCAATGTTGTTCTACTCTCGTATTTATCTGGGACAAATAATGAGCTACTAAAAGTCGAATCCTATGTTGTGACTTTGACGTGGAGTTGTAAAGGCATTTAACAGTGATTTAACAGTACAAATTAGTCTCTATTATTATACTTACGGTGCTTGGTAAACGAGTCAAAAACACAAACTTATCATAAGAAATATATAGGGAAGTGTTTATAAATTCATTTTTATATAGTTCAATTTAATTAGTTATTACTGATAAGTACTAGATGGAAAATTAATAAATTATAATATAAAACTGAATATATCCATTGTACTTATGTAGGCGCTCATTTTGATTTTGACTCAATTCTTTTGACAAATTATATTTTTACTAATACTTAGGTACTTAATGATTTAAATTTTATAATGATATCGTGACAAAACAAAATGTTACTTTTAATTTATTTATTGGTATTTACATTTAAATATACTTCTTGGCTGTCTTATGTTGCACTTTAATTGTATTAATTGTAAAAGTAAAACTTTTATAATAAATGTTCTGTTAAGAAACCATCGTTATTGATAACTGCCACATTAATTAAGTGTTAGTAACTTAGTTTTGTTAACGTTTTATTCGGAATAAATATAAAACATCTAATTATTTTCGAACTTAAACAGTTTATATGGAATGGTATCACATTAGTTTTAATCAGAAAATCAAAATGAACAATTTTGAATAGTTTTGTTTTGTTAAAATTTTAATTACCTCATTTTTTCCAAGCAACATAGGTATAAATTATAATCGTTGAGATAACATTATAGTTCTTAAAAATATTAAGAAATCTAGTGGTATCATTCCTGATTAAACTGGCACGTTATAATTTTATACAAAATAGTCAAATAAATTATTAGTAAGTCAGCTAATTATTAACAGCTTTAGGTATGGTGAAAAATAACTAAAGACACGAGACATAATATTAAGAATAAAGATTTTCAAGGAACACCATAGAAAAAAACGGAGGGAAGTTTAGCATTAAAAAATGCTCTTATTTAAAAACTTAGCGAAGAAGAAGCAGTTTAATAATTTATTGTTTAGTTAAACATTTTTTATATATGTTTTAATATTAAAAATGCAAAATGAAAAGGTACGATCATTTTTTATACTAATTGGGAGGAATAATATTTTTCCAAGACTAACATTAATTATATTTTATCACTACTTTGTTCTCTTACAAAAAAATAAGAAAATAATTTCACTGTATTACATTTTTTTTCTAATTTTAAACGGCAATTCCAAATGAATCATTCAACAGCCGACTAATCGTGGTTTTTTGCCAGTTAATGGCAAACAATAATTAAAGCGGACAATATAAATATATTATAATTATTATTGAATAAACACAAATAATGTTAAAACCTAGTTCGTTTAATGAGTGTGGTCAAAAATACGGTACATTTTAATCGTGGTTTTTGTTTTAGATTTGTTTTTTTTTTTTGTCAAAAAAATACAATGTGTATTCTTTTTATTTATCTATTGGTTTATTGTCTTAGGTAATTTAAACTCGATTTCAGCGGTTTTCTTACAGAGATAAACTCAATCCAAATCTACCCAGGCCGAATCCGTTGTAAATCGGGAAACCCAGATCTGTAATAAGAAACATAATATATTAATTATTAATATGAAAATGATTATTTACTCAAATAAACTATATATTAATTAATTTTTCTCACACAGCTAAATTGTATATCATAAATATAAAGATAATTTAATGTTACACAGTCATTTTAACACATTTAAATTCTTACCTAGTCCGGCGGACCTAACTCCAAAACGTGGAAATGAACGATAACCGTAAGCCGGACCGTATATACCCGCATCATAGAATCCATAATGATGTGTTTCTGCCGTTTTCATATTTTCTTCTTTTGGCTCAGGTTTCATCTCCTCTGTAGCGAATCCTACGGCGAACAAGGCCATGCATAACACCTAAAAAAATATAATATTTTACACGCCAGTTAAAACTTCTTCTTCGTCTTAATATGACATTTTTTAAAAGACTTCTTGCTAAACAAAATAGGTCAATACATTTTTTTTTTAAATACCTACATGTGTTTTTTTTATTCAATTTAGATCCCACAAAACAGTTATAAAACTGACAATATTTCAAAAAGAAAAACCAAAAGCCACACATTATTATTAGACGTTAATTATCAAAAAATATATATATATATATATATATATATTTCTTACAAAATATAAGTAATTGTTTTTTACCAAAAAAATAATATTTAGAGATTCCACTTTTTTTTTAGGAAGAAATTTGATTAAAAATACTTATTAAAAACACTGTACAAAAATAGTTTTAAAATATTGTTAGAAAGTGAAGCACGTTCATATTTTTAACGTTGAAATAAAAATATGTTCTTAAGAACGTTGTTTTAACTGTGTTTGTGAAAAATGTTTGAAACTTTTATTTTTTTAGACAATCATTTTTTTTCTTCTTAAGAGTGCGCTATTATTTAATTCGTCTTAAAAATAAAAATGCACTTATGGAAACTTATTAGGTTTAGACCGAGTTACAAACCATTTAATACGTGTGTAATTAAATTAAAATTCTATATAATTAGTTCCTAATAAATTTTCTATATAAAATTACACATATATAAATTTAAAAAATATCTTGATCTTTTAATTTGTAAATATACTAATATAAAACTAAAAAAAAAACTTTACCAAAATAAATTTAGCAGACATGATCGGTGGATTTTCTAAGACGTTGATTGGATAAACAGCTTAACTAGTCTGCTGCGACGATAAAGAGATACTCGAATACGATTTAGTTACTCTTTTATTTATATAGTAATTTTCTTGTTACTATTTACTGTTAGTGTTGTTGTCGAGGTCTAATGTATGGTCATTAACAATGAACGTTGTCAACACAGTCATTGGAAATTTTGGGAAATCAACTAATCACGGTTAGACTGTAGTTAATTATTTTTTCTACTCATCAATTACGTTAGATGACTTTATACGGGGTTTGGTCTGAAGGTAAATTTTCGGTATGATTTTCATAAAAATATGCAAGAATAACAAATCTGCATATTGATTATAGTTTTGACATGCCAAACAAAACACAGTTTCCCCTAAATGTTTATACTGCTATTTAGAAATAACCTTTCCATTATTAAAATGTTACATTTAGTTACATAATATAATGTAATGAAATTCTCATACATTATATTAATTCTATCTATAATAATATTTATATTGATATAAGTAATAATTTTTAACCCCTTGACCTTTGGTTTAAGAATTTTTTTGGCAGATTATTGTGTTTTTTTTTTCATAAGATTATGATTATATCTGTTTAATTATATGTTTATGATGATTCATACAGTTGTTTAACTGCAAATAAAAAGCTGCTATCATTTTAAAAGCAGAAAATTTGTTGGTTCTGATTGCATCAATTCATTTTTAATATAATATTGCTAGAAATAAATGATGATGAAAACTCAGATTTTTGACAGGAAATAAAAAAAATGTTTCACTTTTCTCAAAAACGTTTGAGTACATTTTTTGAAACCGTCAAGACAATGTCTATACAGTCTAATATTATTATTGTTGACCAGTATGACAAAGCCAAACACCATTATTCTATATGTATACTATCGAAAATATTTGTTTAAAAAAATTAAATTTTATTTATGAACTGCTGGCAAAAACAAACTGTACTCGAATTATTACATGTTTATTGTTGTGAAGATAAATGCGTACAATAAGTAAATATCTACTTAACGGTCACTAATTTACGCTATTATGATGAAGTATAAACAGCAATATAATTCATTAAAGTCAAAAACTTAATGCGCAGATGTGTAACAAAGACACGTTACTAAGTAAGAGCTTGAGCTATTTTTTCGTTTGTTGTGTTAATCACCGTATTTATTTTGAATCTTCAACAACAAAAACACATTACGCCGGAAAATTTTAGAATAAAAAGCCAGAACAGCGACCAAAGAAAATTACTGTTGCCACGACGTATCTTACAGAGAGTAAAAAAGTGAGATTTGATTTTCTCAGCCCACAAGAAAAACAGCGAAAATGACATCCAAAATTGTTTCGGTGAGTCCATCCAAATACAACATTTATTATTGTTTTGTATGTAGTTTTTAATAATTTTTAAAATAAAATCCATTTGTCTAACAGTTAATAACAATAGTTTTTGATAAAAATAAAAATATAAGAACAAAATAAAATTTAGTATTTATTTATTTATTTTTAATTAAAAATAGCATAACAGCTAACCAAGCCTTTTTAATAAAATTCTGATCAAAGCTAATATTTCCATAACTAAACATAATTTAAAGTGACAACAAATTTCTTTGATCAACAATTTAAAACAACAGTTATTGAAAAATACTAATTTTTATAAAAATCAATTTAAATAGTTTACAAGAACGTTATATTATAAGAATTAGATTCACATTTTTTTATTTATTTAACAAAAGCTCAGATTATTTGAAAAATTTCTTTAGCGATAGTTCAGTTTTAATAGTTGATAATTTAAATAATAGTTCTATTAATTCCCATCTATTAGTTATTTGACATTGATTTTTTGGCTGGTGGGATTATACTATAAGATACTGTTCTCTTTTTGAAAATTTGTATTTATAAGGCGAAGAGCTGTTTATGTACCAATAATAGTAATCCACATATATCCGCATGTATTTATCACACAGAAATTGGTAAAAATATTATTCCAAATTTATAAATTTATTCCATTTATTTTTAGAAAACTGTAATTATTTTTCAATAATACTTGATTGAAAATAATAAAATTGTATGATAAAAAAAAATAAATTTAAATGTTAACACAGACATTTGAATTATATTTTCTAGATGTTAAAAATGTAACTATAGGTTTTTTTTAACCTCAAT